AAGCTTTTGATAAGTCAATAAAAACTCCTAAAGTAAATTTGTTTTGATTAAAACCATCGGTTATTTGATTAACTAATTCAATAATTGCATGCTCTGTTGAAAGGTTTTTTTGAAATCCAAACTGGTTTGGGTAAAATAATTTGTTTTTGGTAAAGTGATTATAGATTCTATTATAAATTACACGTTCGAAGAGTTTTGAAAAAACAGAAAGTATTGATATAGGTCTAAAGTTGGTTATGTCCGAATGTTCATTACATTTAAATATAGGGATTACTTTTGCTAATTTAAGTACATCAGGGAAAATCCCAGATGTTATTGAGAGCTTTAGTATATGGATCAGAGGTCTACCTAAACTGGTTTTGTTAAAGATAACTAAATCACTAGTTATTTCATCAAATCCAGGTGCTTTCTTTTTTTTTAAAGAGGAAAAGGCTTCTTTAAATTCTTTATATACAAATTCTTTATCGATGACTTTATTTGTGGGTGTTAGATAATTTTTAAATGAATCAGTTGTTCAATTTATTTTATTAGCGAGATTTGGACCAATATTTATAAAGTATTTGTTAAATTCTTCGGATATTTGTTTTTCACAGAATATGTCTGTATTGTTAATATTAATTCTTTTTGGTAAAGAAGTTGTGTTTATTTTTTTCCGTCCCATTATTTTGTTAATGACGGACCATGTTTTCTTACTATCAGATTTGCATTTAATGATTTCATTACTATAGTATTTATTTTTTGCCTTTTTAATCAGATTTTGGTAAAAATATTTATAATTTTTGTAATTTTTTTCGTTATCAGTGTTTTTATTTTTAAGATATTTATTATAGAGTTTTTGCTTCTTTTTTGAGCATTTTATCAGTAATTTATCCATCCACGGATTAGAAACTGTTTTTGTCTTAATTATTATGCCCTCTAGAGGACAGGTTTTATTAAAGCAATCTAGGAATATATCTAAAAAATTATTGAAAGCTTCGTTGGTGTCCTGACATCTATACACGTTGGAACACGTTTCTTGTTTTAGTCTGATTGATAATTCATTTGTGTTACTTGTTTTAAGATTGCGTTTTTTCAAATTTATAACTTTTGGTTCATAATCAGACATGGTTTTTAAATTTCTTACTTTTATAAATATCGGAAAGTGATCACTAATATCAGTCATGAATATCCCGGTTTCAAGTTCCATTTCCAGGTAATTATTAATGAAAATATTGTCAATTGCCGTTGCCGAGGTTTTTGTCACTCGTGTTGGCTTATTAATTGCTGACAAGACATTAAATTTAAGTAGCATATCAAAAAAGGATTTTGTTTTTGGAAATTTTGAACAAGTTAGAGCATCAAGGTTTGTCTCCAATAACGTAAAAAGTTTTATTTTCTTTATTTATTTTTTCAATTGTATTTTTGATAAAAGTTTCAAATGTTTTGACTTTACCACTTGGTGGACGATAAACGCATCCAATTAAAACATTTCGAATTTTTTTGTTTATGATTTCAACAAATAGACTTTCGTAATAATCATTTGAGAAGCTTAATACATTTTTTATTTTAAAATCGTGCTTTTTTGAGATATAAAGCCCTAACCCTCCACCTTTTTTTCCACTTTTTCTTGGTTGACTTAAAAGTTTATAAAATGGCAAATTATAAATAGAATTTAATTCAAGAGAATTTTCAAAATCATGCCAAGTCTGAAAAGAGCTGAAAGAGCTATGACGTCAAACGTGTAATTTATAATATTTAAAAATTCTTTTAGTTTCTCAAAATTTTGCTGCATGCTTCTAATGTTTATATGTAAAACTGAAAAAGAACAATGATCATTTATTGTTTTAAAATCAAAAGGATCAATATATGGTGTGTCAATTAAGTTAATTTGAATTTCTTAAAAAATATTTATGTTTTCTTCAAAAGATTTTAAATTTTCAAAATGCGTAGCCATTTTTAACGAATAATTTAAAAAGATTAAAAAAATATAACAATAAATTAAACCAAAAACTTTTAAAAAGCTTACTCGTTTCCGTGCCCCAAACAAACAGCTGCGTTGCGTTCGATTGCTTCATTTCCATGCGTCAAGTTAACTACTTTGTGGATGTTTTCTTTAAATTCATGAACAATAAGTTTATTGTACACGACTTTAGCATAATGACCATTTTGACGATGAATCTTCGCCTGCTCAAAAAGTTCTTTGTGTATTTTACGAGTTGTAAAACTATAATCTTCATTTATAAAAATATTACTCCCCTTTAATTTTATTGCATTTTCTAAGATTACTTTTTTATCTTCAAAATCTCTAAGCCTTAGTACAATGGTTCGCTCTCGTTCTAATTTAGCGAGCCCAACTCGATGGGCTCGTTCAATTTTAATATCTTTCTCGATTCCAAATTTTACGTTAAAAAGCTGTTTTATTTTTTCTTTAGTTATATCCCAATCCTTTTCTTCATTTGTTTCAATAATCCTATCGATTCTTAAGTTATTGCGCCTGTTTCGATCTTCATTATCTACGCTTTTAGTTTTAGTTCCGTATTGTCCGAGGATATTTTTCCCTGCATTTTTCTGACATTAGTTAAATCTTCACAAACTTTATTTATTTTTTCGCCTACAGCTTTAACCTTGTCTTCGCATACTCCACCAACAAAATTCAACCCTGATTTTAGATCGTCAAGTTCGCGACGAATATCTTGAATACTCGATTGGAAAATATCAAACTTTAGGTTTGTGCTTGATATTGATTCCCGAAAAAAAGATATAATTGTTTCTTTTTGAAGATTTAACATTTCCCTCATCATTACAATCGATACAAATTCTTCCGATTTAGTCATTCCAGATGAAATATTTTATGTAAAAATAATACACAAAGAATTATTAATATTTTATATACTTTTTATTACTGCGAAGAAAAACACGTCCGTTCACCACAATGCTCAAAGACCAAAAAATTTTAATCAAGAGGTATTGGTACTGGTTTTTCATAACATTTTTTCTAGATATCTGTATGTTTCAATCTAGCTTTGCGAATTTCCTTATTCAGAACCTCTAGTGACTCTTCAGAGTAGTAACCAATTTACAGTTCTAATGCCTCAGATATATGCATACCATGTTCCAAGAGTTTATGAACAGTTGGGGTAGTCATATACCAGTAATAGTTTTTAAGTATAAGGGCTGTAGTTTCATAGCAATACTGGCCAAAACTTTCAAAGTTCAACTCATAAGAGGAGCATACTGATACTAGGATTGTCCTCAATCTAATAACTACATCTACTGCCACTCCTGTTATATCAGCAAAATTTTCAGCATTTTCAAATGCCCTTCTGGTAGTGTTCCCATCGTTAGTGTTCCAAAACCTGTTTGGGCATATCAACTTAAAACTTAGCTTCTCCCTAAACCTCAGCTAACCCCAGTGAATTAAATTCACTGGGGTTAGCTCAGCAAACATTATATGATTGGGAGGGCAGAGTGTTAATGAGGGCATTAACCACTTTACCATCAAATTCTGTTAAATTTAGTTTGATCTTAAATGTGATAGTCGTAACCGGTTTGCCTTCCTCTACTTCTAACTTTACCTCAAACTTGACTAGTCTATTCATTTTTCCATTTAAAATTTCATATTCATTTCTTATCAATTATTTCGTTTTAAAACATGCAATAACTCTTGCATATTTCGATATTCGAGGTTTGATAATTAGCACCGTCTGCTTGAGTATTTTTACTAATAGGAACTAAAAGTATTACTTTTGTGATGAATGTTAACAATGAACTATTGTTCACTACTCTATACACAAGTTTTAATTAAAAACGGAAAAAAACATAAAAAAATACGAAGTAATTAAAAGGTCTTGTTTCAAATGGGGCAAGTTGGGGCAAATGATTTTTTTTTTCTCATATATACCCATCAATGGGAAAATATTAAAATTACCATGGAATCTAGTGTAATCTTTAAGTTTTTGGACTAAACTCATAATTAAACTAATTTTAAAAAAACAATTTATGACGCATTTTTGAGATCTCAGTAATGAAAATCAAAAATTAAAATTTAGTCAAAAATGTTATTATTAGTTACTAAACATTTTAAACATATGACTTCATGTTAAATTTTAAACTGTTTTTACCCATATCAATCTTAAAAGAGTGATACTAAAACGAGACTTTTGTGAATGAGTTTTCCGAGAAATAAAATTAAAAAAATAAGTCTTGGAAAAAGGCGTATAAATTGGTGAAATCTTAAAAATTAATCACAAAAAAATTAATTATTGTCTTTTAGTGGTATTTAGTTACATTATAACTTAATTATTTTCTAGCTAGAGTTTTTAATGGGTTTTTTTTTGCCGTTTTTTATGGATTTTGAATCACTGTACGACTTAGCAGACATCCCCTAGAACCTGCTTGTTTGAAAGAGTATTTTTAAAATCTATATTAGAACTGCACACGATATGGTTGTTTTGAAAATGAAATCAGATTCTGGTGTACTTTTTTTTTATCATAATTTTTTCCTTTGGGGTGGGCCTCTGACAATTTCAATAGCACACATTAAAATTTGGGATCAATAGATTTAATTGAAACTTTCAAACACCAACTAAATAATAGAGTTTAAAAAAATTTCCCATTTGAAAATAGTTGTTACACCCGCTCCCCGTTAAAATTTGAAACTTTAAAGTCTTTAAAGTTTAAACTGAACTAAAATTATATGTAAAATCTGAAACAATTTAAATTAAATTTAAATTTCAAAACATTATCTGTTTCAAAATTACGGCAAACTTAAAATACCAACTTATTATATTAGTAAAATTACGATTTTCAAATAAGTATAATATGCAAGACAAGTAATAAAATCAAATGTTCGGAATAAATCAAATTAAACTGAGTTTTTTTATTCATAATAAATAAAAAGTAACTCGATTTGGTTTCTTCTGTAGTTGTTGCAAGTGTTCTTTTAAACAATTTCTTTATATTGGAAATGTTTTTTTTAAAACGGTATATAAAACGGTTTTGAAAAAAAACTTAATAAGAAATTCTTGAACAGAATAATTTTATTAATTTCTAAACAGTGGAGTTGCTGCCTTTATTGACTCTCATTAAATTTTCACTGAATGCGGAATGCGGCGAACTAAAATAATAATAATAAAAAAAATTGTCAAAAAAATTGATGAAACTTGGATTAAAATATTGTAAAAAATTTTATGAGACATACATTTCATTCATTTCCGTGTAGTCAGGTTCATCTTGAGGAACGTTTAAATAAGGATTATTGTTGGCTGGTCGAAACTTGTAACTAAAAGTTTAAATTTGAAAAAGATTTAAAAAAAATAAATAAATATTACACAACCAAAAATATATTATAAGTAATAGTTTATAAAACTCACCCAGTCATAACATAAAAAAGGAAAGTTCCCATTTCTGTGAAGAACTGAATTAAAAAAATATTCAAAATCATTTCAAAGTGTTATCCTAGCACATTGGTATAAAAAAATATTCAAAATCATTTCAAAGTGTTATCCTAGCACATTGGTATAAAAAAATATTCAAAATCATTTCAAAGTGTTATCCTAGCACATTGGTATAAAAAAATATTCAAAAATCATTTCAAAGTGTTATCCTAGCACATTGGTATTAAAAAAATATTCAAAATAATTTCAAAGTGTTATCCAAGCACATTGGTATAAATATTCAAAATCATTTCAATGTGTTATCCTAGCACATTGGTATAAAAAAATATTTTTCGTACAATTAGAAAATAAATTTATTGAAATACTCCAAAATAAAAATCTTTAAAAATATATATTTTTTAATTTAATATTATTTTTTAAACCCAATTCAAAACAAAAGCATTACCAAAGAACAAAAATTAAATCGAGTTATATAATCTTTAATTTGGAAACCCGATTCATTAGATTTCAGTTGACTCAAAAACCTAGTTCATTAGATTAGTAAGCAGGTTCCTACATATTGCAGGCAAATTCTGCAATACCCAAGATCACTCATAATCCAAGATCACTCATAAAAAAAGTGTCAAAGATTCATTTATCATTTAAAATGTGATGGTTCTGAAAGTTATTAAATTTGTAGATTCGAGAAAGAGCAAAATTTCATTATAAGTTAAATTAACTGAGAAATAGTGAATGAAATTATTGAAATGAAATTAACTGAGAAATAGTGAATGAAATTCTTGAAATGAAATTAACTTTAAAATTAAATTAAAATTAAAGTCAGGTCAGGTTTTCCTGCTACTGGTAACATGTAACCCAGTACAACCTGCTCCATGTCCTGCTGCCTTGTAGGATACGCTTTTTTAGGCAAAGGCTAGGAGAAGTTAACTCCAAATTAAAACACCCCCTGCCTTGGGGCTCTTGGTTGAGTAAAGATGGTGTCTCGATAAAAATACTCATCTTGGGCAGATGTTACATGCATCCAGCTGCTGTCTTGTAGAAGGCCTCCTAGGCAAAGACTTAAGGGGTAAACAGATTCTATCTGTTGACCAGCCTCGCACCCCTTCCTCATCTATTAGGCTGGCGCAGATGTATTTTTAATATATTGTTTCCAGTTTAGGATGTTGAACGCTGGATCTTCTTGACTCAATGCGTGGGTATTGTGTCTCTATTTTTATGACTGGGCAACTCATTCTATTATCTCCTAATGAGGGTACAGCTCTAAAACTCAGTTTTATGGTTCTGAGGCCGGCTGGTAGTCAGGTTTCCCGAACTCTGTGGTAGCTCTCAGAGAGGCTGATTCCATCAACAGCCGAAAAATATCAGAGTACTAACAGTGCCATGTTGCGCATGGATGGTGTCCCTGTTTGTACTTTTGGTGTGCATTGCAGAGGCCACATTTGGAGCCCTTTGTTACGGCTTAGGGTTTATTAATAGTAATGAGGCTATTGCTTAGTTGTTAAATAGTGTACTGAGTACTATCTATACTTGAGTCAAGTTCTTTATAAATTTAAAATGACTAAAGTACCTAAAACTAAAAAACACAAAAAACCATCGTCTTCACCAAGTTCTCTAAACCTATCATTTACTAATATTCGTGGTCTTCGAAGTAACTTTTCTTCTGTTGAGTCTTATCTCTTGCAAAGTTCACCAGACCTACTTGCTCTTTGTGAGACTAATTTGAGTTCGGCTGTCCCATCTTGTGATCTTAGTGTTGATGGTTATCTTCCTTTAATTCGTAAAGACTCCAATAATCACATGCTTGGCCTGGGCATCTACATTCGTAAGAACTCACCCATTTGTCGTGAAACTAGGTTTGAATCTACAGACCATTCATTTATGTGCTTTCGTTTAGCACAACTTCACTCTATCGCCTTTCTCTTTGTTCTATATCGCTCTCCTTCATCCCAAGATTGCACTATTCTTGATGCTATTTCTGATCAAATTGACCAAGCCCTCTCTCTTTATCCATCGGCCAATATCGTTGTTGTTGGTGACTTTAATGCCCATCACACCGATTGGCTTGGCTCTAGTGTCAGTGACTCTGCTGGCGTTAAGGCCCTCAACTTTTGCCTTTCTCAATCTCTAACTCAAATAGTCAACTTTCCAACTCGTTTTCCAGACAACCCGAATCATTTACCTTCTCTACTCGACTTATGTCTTGTTTTAAATCCTAGTCAGTGCTCAATTTCTCCACATTCACCCTTAGGTACTTCTGATCACGGTTTGATCTCTCTAAAACTATTATCAAATTCTTCTACTTCATCAGAATCCCCCTATCATCGTACCACATACAACTACCTTAAAGCTGACTGGGACTCTTTCCGTGATTTTCTTCGTGATGGCCCTTGGGTAGAAATCTTTCGTCTTCCTGCTGACAAATCTGCTTCTTACATAACTTCGTGGATTCAGGCTGGCATGAAATCTTTTATTCCCTCTCGACGATTCCAGGTCAAGCCTCACTCTGCTCCTTGGTTTTCCTCACATTGCGCTGCAGCAATTTCTAATCGAAACCGTTACTTCCATATCTATCAGCAAAACAATTCTCCAGAAAACAGACATCTGTTCACTATCGCCAGAAACCATTGTAAAAAGGTTTTGTCTGACGCCAAAGCTCGCTATTCCCAGGTCATTAAATCTCGTATCTCATCACAAAAATTAGGCTCTCGAGACTTCTGGAGAATCTTTAACAGTATCAATAATAAGGGCAAATCTGTTATTCCTTCTCTCTTGTATGGTTCAGACTTTGTCACCTCACCTAAAGACAAAGCTGAATTGTTTGCTAAGAACTTTTCATCAATATCATCTCTTGATTCCACTAGTTGCGTTTTACCTGACATAGCCGTCAAACAGGTCGATCCCTTGCTTGACATTCGCATCACTTCAGCTTCTGTATCTAAAGTAATTTCCTGCTTAGACTCTTCAACAGCTTGTGGTCCTGACAACATCCCTGTTGTAGTCTTGCAGAGGTGTTCTCCGGAGCTTTCATCCATACTTTCTAAACTATTTAACAAGTGCTTATCAGAGTCTTGTTTTCCATCATGCTGGAAAGCAGCATCTGTTATCCCTATTTTCAAAAATTCTGGAGAGCGATCTGATTCATCTAACTACCGTCCCATTAGTCTTCTTCCTGTCATAAGCAAGGTTTTTGAATCTTTAATCAACAAACACTTAATCTCTCATCTTGAATCAAATAACTTACTTTCTGATCATCAATATGGATTTCGGTCTTCTCGTTCTACAGCTGATGTGCTAACAGTAATAACCGATAGGTTTTACCGTGCATTAGATAGAGGTGGAGAGGTTAAGGCTATCGCACTTGACATTTCTAAAGTTTTTGATAAAGTTTGGCATGCTGGTCTTCTCCATAAGCTTTCTTCTTATGGTGTAGCTGGTAACGTCTTTAAGATTATTGAGTCCTTTCTTTCCAATCGTAGTATAAAAGTTGTCCTCGATGGACAACACTCTTCTTCACATCCTGTAACTTCAGGGGTTCCTCAAGGTTCAATCCTTGGCCCTATACTCTTTTTAATTTACATTAACGATCTTCCAGATATTCTCACATCTAAGGTGGCATTATTCGCTGACGACACTACCATTTACTCTTGTCATGATAAGAAGCCTACACTCTCTGATTGCTTGGAGGGGGTATCTGAGCTTGAAAAGGATCTCACTTCTGCTACAGCATGGGGCTCACAGTGGCTGGTGAACTTTAATTCAGATAAAACTCAATTTTATTTGGCCAATCGTTATCGTAATAATTTAGATCTTCCTATATTTATGAATGGTAATGTACTAGATGAGTCATCTACCATTCATCTTCTAGGATTAACTCTTACTTCTGATCTTTCTTTTAAACCGTATATCAAATCCATTGCAAAATTAGCATCTGCTAAGGTTGCATCTCTTTATCGAGCTCGACACTTTCTTACTCCAGATTCTATTCTCTATCTCTATAAATCTCAAATCCGTCCCTGTATGGAATACTGTTGCCACATCTGGGGCGGATCTTCTAATGATGCTCTTTCTCTTTTAGACAAGGTGCAAAAACGAATTGTAAACATAGTTGGACCTGCTCTGGCAGCCAATCTCCAACTTTTGTCACATCGTCGTAATGTTGCTTCTCTTTCTCTTTTCTACAAATACTATAATGGGCACTGCTCTAAAGAGCTAGCGTCCCTTGTGCCATCTACTAAAATTCATTCTCGTGTTACTCGCCATTCAATTAAGTCTCATCCTTTTTCTGTGACTGTTCCTAAGTGCTTCAAAAACTCTTATTCTTCTAGTTTTTTTCCTCGAACATCAGTTCTTTGGAATTCGCTTCCTTCATCTTGCTTTCCTGATTCATATAATTTGCAATCTTTTAAGTCATCAGTCAATCGTTATCTTGCTCTACAGATTTAGTCTTTTCTCTTCCAGTAACTTCCAACTCTTATAGTGGTTGCTTGCAGCCTTGTTGGAAGTGAAGATGTTAAAAAAAAAAAAAAAAAAAAAAAAAAAACAAAAAAAAAAACTGAGAAATAGTGAATGAAATTATTGAAATGAAATTAACTGAGAAATAGTGAATGAAATTATTGAAATGAAATTAACTGAGAAATAGTGAATGAAATTATTGAAATGAAATTAACTGAGAAATAGTGAATGAAATTATTGAAATGAAATTAACTGAGAAATAGTGAATGAAATTATTGAAATGAAATTAACTGAGAAATAGTGAATGAAATTATTGAAATGAAATTAACTGAGAAATAGTGAATGAAATTATTGAAATGAAATTAACTGAGAAATAGTGAATGAAACTATTGAAATGAAATTAACTGAGAAATAGTGAATGAAATTATTGAAATGAAATTAACTGAGAAATAGTGAATGAAATTATTGAAATGAAATTAACTGAGAAATAGTGAATGAAATTATTGAAATGAAATTAACTGAGAAATAGTGAATGAAATTATTGAAATGAAATTAACTGAGAAATAGTGAATGAAATTATTGAAATGAAATTAACTGAGAAATAGTGAATGAAATTATTGAAATGAAATTAACTGAGAAATAGTGAATGAAATTATTGAAATGAAATTAACTGAGAAATAGTGAATGAAACTATTGAAATGAAATTAACTGAGAAATAGTGAATGAAATTATTGAAATGAAATTAACTGAGAAATAGTGAATGAAATTATTGAAATGAAATTAACTGAGAAATAGTGAATGAAATTATTGAAATGAAATTAACTGAGAAATAGTGAATGAAATTATTGAAATGAAATTAACTGAGAAATAGTGAATGAAATTATTGAAATGAAATTAACTGAGAAATAGTGAATATTTTTAAAGTTTGAAGATTTTGTGTTAGGTTGAAGTTGAAGGACGTGAAAGTTAACTTTATCAATTTTGCTTATGATTTTATATTGTTCGATAAGGTCTCCTTTTTCTCGCCGTTCAGTTAGTGTTGTCAGGTTAAGGCTTGATAGTCTTTGAGTATAAAAAAGGTGTTTAAGGGAGGCAATATGTTTTGTGGCTCGTTGTTTAACTTTGATATATTAAAACAAAATTGAATTTGCCATAAAAAAATTGAGGTTGCCACAAAAAAATTGAATTTGCCATAAAAAAATTGAGGTTGCCACAAAAAAATTGAGTTTGCCACAAAAAAATTGAGGTTGCCACAAACGTAAAGGTCGTAACCAAAATGCATAAAACTTTTCTGATCTTAGATTGGTAAGATTTTCGAAACATATTTTTTCCAGTAGTGAAAAAAACATCTTTTTGCACTGTTATAAGGCACATTTAGAACTAAATTTTATGAAAAATAAAGACTTAGCTAAAAAGACTTCATTATATATTTTATATAAAACTTATATACTTTAAAATATAAGTATTATAAACAGATTTAAAAACATTTTAAAGACATTTGAATTACAAATCTGAAAATAAAAAAAGTTTTCGAAAAGTTAGTTTGAACTAGTAACCACAAAAATTGGGTAGTAGATTATTAGGACTATATTTTAATAACGAGTCTAAGAAGGTATCTACTATACAGTGCACACAGATATGAAAATCACATATAAAGTATTGTTATTGTCATTTAGACAAATAATAAAAGTAAATTATTAATTTTACTTTATTAAATTTTATAAAACTGTAACAAAACTTTAATTGTAACCATGACTGCAACCAAACTATCTGCATTAAAAATACTTTTTAAGCATAGTAAAATAAAATAATCTAATCTTGTCTTTTAATTCTATACTTAAATATTTATACATATAAATATTTAAGTATAAAATATACAATACTTTTACATAAAGTTTAATTTTTTAAATCTTTTTTAAGTTTCAAATATTTCTCAAGGTTTAATAGTCTAGACACAGAACTAAATTTAGCAGTATACCAACAATAACTCCACAAGTCAGATTGTAAGATTGATCATAAAACTCTTTTGTTCCTTTATATTCAAAAAACTTTTTCATCTAGTTTTTTGCAAACATCAGTGCTTTGGTATTCTCTATTTTCTGCTATCACCTACCTTAATTAGTGGTTGCTTGCAGCCTTGTTGGAAGTGAACATGTTTTAAAAAAAACTTTTAAAAGGAGACTTGAAAATTTTATAAATAGGCAAATTGTTTTATTGCTTTTAATTTTATTTGCAACTCTTTCTTAACCCTAAACTTAAAACAGGTTGAATCAACCCTAAACTTGAAACACCTTTAACAACTGTGCATAGAAAATTGTTGAACCGACCCTAAACTTGAAACACCTTTAAAAACTGCACAGAGAAACAGGTTGAACCAACCCTAAACTTGAAACAACTTTAACAACTGCGCAGAAAAACAGGTTGAACGCAGAATTTCCAGAAGCATCAATTTCATCAGAAGCATCAGAGTGGATTTAAACCTCATACCTCTGGATACGAGTATTCTATTATTAGCATACTACTGAAATTTGTTTTTGAATTTTAATAAAAATATTTTTCTATGTATTACCAAAACCCATTATTTTCTAACTGTATTAGAAAACTCTTTTATTTCATTCTATTTTATTAAAAGTACCACATCTAAATATTTTAATAAACTTACCTCATCTAAATATTTTAATAAAACTACCTCATCTTAACATGTATATTGATAATAATAAAAAAATTACCTCATCTAACCATGTATACTGATAAGGAACTGTTATCTAAAAATATTCAATTGATATTGGTACAATAACATATATAAGAAAACAAAAAGAAATCTGTTATAATGATAAGAAGTAAGTTATAAAAGTTCATTATGACAATAAGAAAAAAATTACATTGATTCCAGATTTTATTAACTAAGTTATCTAAATATATTTAATTAATATTGGTACAATATTAATAACTATAATAATAAAAATTGTTTTAAAAATGATTACTATTATTACTACTATTGTTGTATTAAAAATAATAAAAGTAATAATAAAAATAAAAATAAAAAATAATACATTTCATTATATAATGATAATAGCTTTTAATAATACATTGAGATCTACATTGGAGTGAAAAGTATTAGAATCATCTAAAAATTTTACTAATTTTTTCAGTTTAAAGCATGAGTGTTTAGGTTTTTATAATAGATACAAGTAAAACAAAACTTTTTTGTTATTTTACTAGTAGCATTTGAAAAGTACAAAGAAACTTATTTCAACTTTTTTAGTTTATTATAAGTTTTTAATTTTAGGGCAAGTTTGTATGATTTTAATACTTTTCAAAAATACATATAATTTGGTAGTTGTTTTGACATACCCTTACTGATTTTTAATAGTGATTTGAAAGTATGTGCATACCAAGCAGCATAAAGAGATTTAGTGTGTTTTATTTGCATTTTAAACAAATGAAATTCTATAATACATATAGTACAAGTAATATTTTATGACCAATGTCACTGCCTTAGTGCAAAAGTTAGAGCCAAAACCCAAATAAATTTTTATGCATTTTCTCATATAAGAACTGTCAAAAAGTAGTTTATAGTTTGTTTATACTATCCCGAACTTTATATATCTGAAATTGACCCTAATATGCTCATATTGCAGTTGAAAAATTGGTTATAATAGCATCTGCCATCTAATTGGTTTGGTGCAAAAAAAAGAAACCAGCTTTATAGCATCTGCCATCTAATTGGTTTGGTGCAAGAAAAAGAAATCAGCTTTAAAGCAAATTAAAGCCAAATAATATCAAGTTTTCTAATAGTTGTGTGATCTGATCTAATTAGGTTTTTTTGGGACCAAGCAAGTAACCACTACTAAACAATTAAAAAGACAAATATCTTTAGTAGGACATGAACCCCCAATATTTTTTAGTAGAACATGAACTGCCACCATTTTTTAGTAGGACATAAACCGCCCCCATTTTCTATGGATTAGCATAAACTTCTGTTTGGAGAATGTGCCTAAAAATTAAAATCGACACACTAAAACATGTTGAAAAGTTTGTTAAACTAAATTGTGTGTCAATAAAGTGTTTGAATTAAAAAAATTAAAAAATTCTATTACACCAAGCCATTATTTTATGTTTTTTTGACACAAAATCATAGCTTTATGCTTTTGAAGTTGTTGATTCTAATACATTTCACACCTCTGTAAATAATAAACCAAATTATCTGTAAAAAATAAAACAACAAATTTTTTCTTAACTAATACAACAACAACAGCAACAATTATTAACAAATACAACAACAGCAGCAACAACTATTAACCAATACAACAACAACAGCAACAACATTATACAACAACAACAGCAACAATTACTATACAACAACAACAGCAACAATTATTATACAACAACAACAGCAACAATTATTATACAACAACAACAGCAACAACATTATACAACAACAACAGCAACAACATTATACAACAACAACAGCAACAATTATTATACAACAACAACAACAACAATTATTATACAACAACAACAGCAACAATTATTATACAACAACAACAGCAACAATTATTTTACAACAACAACAGCAACAACTATTATACAACAACAACAATTATTATACAACAACAACAGCAACAATTATTATACAACAACAACAACAACAATTATTTTACAACAACAACAGCAACAATTATTATACAACAACAACAGCAACAATTATTATACAACAACAACAGCAACAACTATTATACAACAACAACAACAACAATTATTATTATACAACAACAACAGCAACAATTATTATACAACAACAACAGCAACAACTATTATACAACAACAACAGCAACAATTATTATACAACAACAACAGCATCAATTATTATATAACAACAACAGTAACAGATATTATACAATAACAACAACATCAACAATTATTATACAACAACAACAGCAACAATTATTTTACAACATATATGGATAATAATTCAAATGATCATAAGTTTGCTACAAAAGTCCATTAAATCATAAGAAAAAAATTGAATTGATTCCAGTTTTTATCAACTAAACCATGTCGTCAAACATGAGGGGTTAATAGACCTAATATTAACAGGTAATTAATATTATTTAGTTAAATACTTACAAAATATAATCAGAGATAAAAAAGTAAAGTAAAAAAAAAATCTTAAAAACTTTTAAATAGAACTTGTTATAATAAGAAAAATATTCCATAAATTTCAAAAATCTTTGAATAAACTCACTTATTTTAAAAAAATGATTTCGAAATTAACAAAAATATCTTTACATCATTTTTGATATAAAACTTTAAAAAAAGAAAATTATTAGCTTACCTTTATCAAATAAACAATAATACGCGTGAAATAAATATAGCAAACAATCTAAACAGTAATATGTGTGAAGTAAATATAGCAAACAATCTAAACAATAATACGTGTGAAATAAATATAGTAAACAATCTAAACAATAAAACATGTGAAGTAAATATAGAAAACAATCTAATCTAATAAATAGCTTTAAGGTATGTTGCAACATAGCAATAGACAATTGCTGATGACAGTATTGTCAGGACAATACTGTCATCAGCAATTGGGTCTTGTGATTATATTTTTGGCTAGTGAAGGTCAGAAAGTTGTTAAAAGAACTTTGATTACATTGAAATCTATCTGGTCTGAAAAATCATTTGAGCTATTCTGAAACCGATTGAAATTAAGAGAAAACTGCTTCAACTAGAAAATCCTGCTTTGGCCCGCTATCGCACAGTACCTCAGTGTTTTGAAATAGGAGCATCTGCATTAGTATTATCTGAAAATTCTAATTTTGACTTTTTCAAGAAGATATATTTCGAAGCTATAGAAATGACAATTGGTAGCATTCAATCCAGATTTGAGCAACAAAGATATTTAATGCTTCAAAAGATAAAATCATAACTTATAAATGTTTCATCTGAAAGTAATTCAAGTGCTTTCTTTCTATGCTACAGATTTGAATGCTTCAAGACTGCATGCACAATTACAAGTTATGCACGATTCCAAAACTGAACCTTTAGACACTCTACAAAAAGTCCTTAATTTTTTCAGGTAAGATATAAATGGATTTCCTAAAAACCTAATTCCTATTTATTTAATAATTATGACTGCAGTGTCAAATTGACTAACATATGCACTACAAAGCATATTTGTATGCTAATATAACACATAATTTTTTGTGTTTTACAGAGAAGCAAATTAATTTGAAAAAAAATCATTATCAGAAATCAGGAAGTTGTGAAAACTTCTAATACCAGCAATTAACGCTATTAGCAAGAGAGCTTTCAGCACACTATGAAGAATCAAAACTTAGTTAAAAAGCACAATGAACCAAGCACAGTTAAACTGGCGTATGCTGTTAAATATACACTCACAATAAGCTGATGAACTAAACATCATAGATATATTCAATGAGTTTTGTAGCCAAAGTAAAGGTAGAAAAACTGTATTTGGACAATTTTAAAAAAATTCTTGAAACTGCTATAATGTTTTATGAAGGTCATACTATATAAAACTTGAAGTTTGTAAAAATAGCCAAAATGTGTTTTCCGTTTCTGATCTATATTTTAATTTTCGAATCACGTATGCATTCAAAAATATTTTGCATTCAAAAATATAAAGGCCAAATTTTACTTCGTATCATTAAAAACATTTTTAATAATAAATTACCTCAAAAACCTACAAGAAGTCACATTTAAAAAAAAGTGTATTACATAGTTTAATTACTACAGAATTCTGAAGAGTTTTATTGTTAAGAGCCATGATATTTGCATTCCTGGTCATCATAGCCCCCCCTCCTACCCAGATTAAATAAGTTGTCTATGACCATAAACTTAAAAAAGTAATCTTTTAAAAGATTTTTAGAAAGACATGGAAAATTGTTTCAAACGTTTAAATTTTTCATAAAAAATACATACCAACTAAAAAAAATAAATAAATATAACATTTAATTTACACATAATGCATTTATTTTAAACGATCATTATAACTATTTTTAGATTTTATTAAAAGCCTTTGCGAAAAATAAAAACTTTAAAAAAGATCAATGAATTAAAGTTATTCTTAACATAATGATGCTTTTTGTTGCGTTTAAATTGTTAAAACAGTCGTTGCCAAATTATAAACAAAAAAATAATATTGTCAGTTACAGCATGAGAATTCGTCTATCTAAAAAAATATGCAATATTTTTGATATGCAATATTCTATATAATAAAGAAAGAAACTACAATATCACTAGACTAACGTTTAATAAATTGAATAACATGACAAAGACTTCAATTGCATAACTCAGTTCGGTAAAACCGTAAAAATTATATTTTAAAAATTTGATTGGACACTGTCTGACCCAAACAAGTTTTGATTGGACATTTTGTCTAGGATCTTTTAAAAAATTAAATTGAGCCCTGCACTGTTCACATAATAGAATAGCATATTAAAGTGTCGATCATATTGAGATAACATCATGAGATATCAAGAGCATCATTTCAGGATGCTCCTGTTATCTCATGATGTTATCTCAAAAATTACATTAAAAAAAAACAACAACATTTTTTGAGTTATTACCAATTATTTTATTAAATTTAGGTAATAAGACTTAAAAAATATAGTGAACTAATGTTCTAACTATAAAGTATCTAGTGAACTAATGTTCTAACTATAAAGTATCTAGTGAACTAATGTTCTAACTATAAAGTATCTAGTGAACTAATGTCCTAACTATAAAGTATCTAGTGAACTAATGTCCTAACTAAAGTATCTAGTGAACTAATGTTAACTAAAGTATCTAGTGAACTAATGTCCTAACTATAAAGTATCTAGTGAACTAATGTCATAACTATAAAGTATCTAGTGAACTAATGTCCTAACTATAAAGTATCTAGTGAACTAATGTCCTAACTAAAGTATCTAGTGAACTAATGTTAACTAAAGTATCTAGTGAACTAATGTCCTAACTATAAAGTATCTAGTGAACTAATGTCATAACTATAAAGTATCTAGTGAACTAATGTCATAACTATAAAGTATCTAGTGAACTAATGTCTTAACTAGACTTTACTTTAATACAAATTATGCCAGCAGCAGGAAAAACACTTTCTGATACTTGTTGGCTTTATTGTTAATAGAGCTAGATTCACAATGCATCCCGTAAGTTTGTTGTTCATTAAACCATTGATAGATATATTTTTTTTCTTATTTTAAGAAAAACAGATTTTTAGTTTAAGATTTGTGGAAATCATGCTAATTTTTGTTAGTTATATCATGCAGACTGTTTTTCAATGATAAATAGGTAACTTGATTATGACATAATAACACAACCAATGCTTTCAATATATATTTTTTTAATTTTATTCTGGATCAACTATATTTGGATTTTCATCATTATGTTTGCTATGCGAAATGAAGAATAAGATTGAATGATCAAAAAAGAACTCATTGCAGCGTTGTTAAACTATTATTATGACATTGCAGTGCTGTAAAATAAATTATCATGACTTTTGCTGTGGACTATGAAGATAATACAGACTTTTCTAATTTTTACTATTTTATCATTTATATTTTATTTATCAATTACTTTATATTTTACTTTATGTTCAATATTTAAATTTAGTAATGGCAACACAGTCCATTAAACTGAGGTTAAACTATGCCAATTTAGGCCTCAAAATTTCTAAACATATACTGCTGATTTCTCAGTGACGCTCACTTGTTTAATCTTAAACATATATTACCAATTCCTCAGTGATGCGTGACTTTTCCAATGTTAAGCTGAACTTAATAACTTGTACTTTTAAAAATTCATGTGTTCCTTTTTTTTTTATTTTTTATTCATAGCCCATGACAATTTTTGTTTATACGTTATTTGAAATTTAAGAATATTTTCAAAACCTTTAGCTTGTAGAAAGCTGCCAAGATCAGTTGACATATAAAATTCTGGACAAAAAAAAAATCATTTCAGAATCAAGAATCAGATTATCTTGCAATTGTCGACCATATATAAGTATTTTATTTAGGATAAATTGAGCAATTTTTTTTTAATGTGAGTTTGATTAGTTGAAATATTTTGTACACATAGATTAAATCACTTCATCAGATAAAAAGCAGTAAAAAGTTTCGGTATACTTTCCTTGTCTTTATAGTGATATACTATTAGATCTATAGAACATTGTTGGTTATTCTAGTAATAGCTCTGTATCTGCATCTTAGACTATGAAAAGCATAAGTTGAGTACATAAACTGACTAAATAATTCGAGTACATACATCAACTGACTAATAAGGGAGAACATGCAAGGAGCGCTACTACATCTTAGGGTTTGGGAATTTGTTTCAATTTTTCATGTCTTTGTTTTAAATTCTTTTTCTGAAAAGTGCACATTTTATGAACTAAAGTGCACAAAATTTATAAGGAAATTGTGTTCTTAGATACATGTTATATCAAAGATAAATTATTTCATCACAATTTTTTTTAGAGGGAAGAATGACATTTATCTAGTTATGTCTTTTACCACTTGTTGATGAGTGCAACATTTTGCTTTCCTTCTGAGTGTGTATTTTTGAAGACTTTGAATGAGATTTTAAAGGAAATATGTTAAAAACCTGAAGATTGTTGTTATTTTCCTGTTGTTCAACCTGACTTGGGTCCTATTCTGCATAATCTTCTCTTCTGTAGTAAAAGTAAAAGTGAAATGATGAAAATTTGAATAAAATAAATGAAGTGTAAAAAGCTTGTCTGTATTTTATGTTATTGTGTTTTTGAAAATGCAAATTAAAAAGTTATATAGAATAATAAAATTTTACAGCTATTTATTAGTAATTTTCTTCATGTGTAGATTAAATGGATCACAAGCTTTATGGCATATAGGAAACATATTTAAATATTTTGTAGAATGTGTTTTACATATTTTTTTTAATTTTGATAAAAAAATAGCATAAAGATATAATAGTTTTGTCTTTCATTATTAAATATTTTAATAACATCTTATTGATCATTGCATGCCTCTGATGTCATAAAAATAATGAAGCGTGTACACGTAATAAATGTGAAAGAATAAATTTGTCATTTTTTTTCAGTGGTTATATTAAAATCTTTTTAATTGTTTTGTATTTTATTTACAACGTGTTGTGGTTTCAAAAAAATGTATTAGTATTTAATTTAACTTAAAATTAGTTTTAAAAATGACAAAATAAGAAGACATTAGAGAAAAAATTATCTACAAATATTAGGAAAATCCCAATAGTAGCTACAATTCGATAGAAAAAGTGTTGCAAATACATCCATACACCATTAGTCATGTAACCCAATGTTTTTCTCAAACAAAATTGATCAAACGTTAATCTGGTGGTGGAAAAAAGAAGGGTTTTAACGATTAAAACTAGTTAGAAAACTGGTTAATAGATTTAAGACTAACCCAAGCCTTTCACTACTGGAGCACGCAAACATTTATGGACTTTCTCATAGTTTTGTTGTAAAAGTTCGAAATAAACATGGTTTTCATTCTTTCAAAGCACAAAAAGTACCCAACTGATCTGAAACTCAACAAAAAAGTGCAAAAACCCAGAAAGTTGTATGACAATTCTATTTCTAAAAATTTCTGTATTATTAAAGACGATAATCAAGTACGATCATCATCAAGATAATCAAGTACGATCATCAGCAAATTCCTGGTGCCGTCTTTTATATTGGCAAATGTAGAGGAAAAGTAGATAAGAAATTTAAATACATAAAACATGACAAGTTTGCTAAAAAAGTCTTGATTTGGCAAGCTATTTTCAGTTGTGGCAAAAAATCAGCACCTTATATTTCTCAGTCCACTCTTTTGGGTCAAATATATGTTAGAGAGCATTTACAAAAACACCTTTTACCTCTCATTAAATCACACAATAATAGACCTGTGTTCTGGCCAGATTTAGCTTTAATTCATTATTTTAAACTAGCTTTGGAATGGTAAAAAAGTAATAATGTGAAATTTGTGCCTAAAACAGAAAATCCTCTAAACTGCTCAGAATTAAAAGTTATTGAAAAGAACTGGGCCATTATTAAAAGAAAAATGAAAAAAACAAAAAACTTTGCAGAAATATTAAAAATATTAAAATATCATTTAAAAAGCATCAAGTGGCTTCAATTCTTATTCTGTGCATAAGCTTATGGGTACCACCAAAGCAAAAGTTTGAAATGTTGTTAGATTCCCACAGGAATAATTTGATTTTTTTTTAATACTTGATCTTCTTATATTATTGTATTAAAGTTGATTGGAAATAAAAATTGAAGAGTACTTTTTTTTAGTTGTTTTTCTACTTTCACATTTATTTTGTGTACACGCTTTAGAACATTTATTTAGAAAGTTAAAATAAATCAATTGAACACACATTGAAATAAACCAATAGCACACATTACATGCTATGAACAGTAAGAAGAAAGGATTTTACTAACAAATAATAGTAATAATAACAAATAATAAGAATTCTTCATTGTTACTTTATTTTCTGTTTTTAGATAAAAATTGTTGTATAAAAACAAAACAAGTTTTCAATTAATGTCACATTATGCCTTTAGGTTTTTTAGGTATTTTTAAAATATAATAAATTTTTTTTTCAAAGAGTCTGTAAGCCAAATTTAATACTTAAACAGAATTATATTTGTAAGTTTTTTTTTAATAATTTATTGACAAAGTGATATATCTTTGAAATTATAGTTCTACAGTACACTGGACAAAAATCTGTAAAAAATTATAGTTCTACAGTACACTGGACAAAAATCTGAGACCAAGGGTTGAAAAAGACTAAAAACTAATTTTATCCATAAAATTTTATTCAACCATGTCAATTTTTTCCAATATAATTCATATTACTAGGAATAAGTACAACATAATTTGTAAAATAAAACACAAAATGTCCATGTCATGTCAGTATTTTATGGGCATTCCTTTAGCCGCTAGCACAGCAGTAATTCTCCTGGGCATAGAATTGATCAAATTTTCACAATAAACAGGAGTGATTTCATTGGACCAAACCAACATTATCTTTTTTTTCAATTCATCATATGATGATGGCTTTAAAGCGGCTACCTTTTTCTTTAACAGATGCCAGCAATTCTCTATTGGATTTAAGTCAGGTGAGGATCCCGGCCAAGGAGAAAGTACCTGAATATTTTTCTCAGCTAGCCATTTAGTAATCACCTTTGCCCGGTGACATGGTGCACCATCATGCTGGAAGATTGTACAACCAGAAAGAGGCAGCCACTGAAGCAAATTGCTTTTCAAAATTTTCAGATATTCATTGGCATTAATGGTTGTTTTAGGAGGCATGAACCAAATACCTGCTTGTCCTCTGGTTGAAATTGAAGCCCAGACCATGATTGATTGGCACTGTTTAACATTGCATTTGGTGTACTTGGGATTCAGTCGCTGATTAACAGGTCTATAAACAAAATAAAGAATGAAGAGGAGCAAACTGCTTTATTTGACTTTCATCTGAAAACATTACTCGCGCCCAATCCAACGCTGTCCAGTCTTTGTGTTTTTGACAAAAGGCAATCCGATCCTTGATGTTCTTGGCAGAAAGCCTAGGTTTAATGGAAGGATGCCGGGCATGCAGGTTGAAATCAGAGGATAGTCTTTGTCTGGTAGGCTGGAGGAAACAGTAACAGAGGATGGCAAGTTGTGTTGTATTACTGTGGATGATGACATTGGAGAATTAGTACAAGTGCGATGAATCAAGCGGTCGGTCTGCATAGAGGTACATTTTGGTCTACCAGATCTTTTTCATGAAGTTAAGCTGCCAGTCTGCTGCAATCAAGTTATTGTGTTATGAACTGCAGTTTTAGAAACAGACAAACGTTCACCAATGCTTCTCTCGGTGTATCCCTCCTCTTTTAAAATACTGATCTGTGCTCGAACTGATATTTGTAACTCACACATTTCAGTGAAAGAAAATTAATGCTAAAATCAAAAATGAGAATTTGAAGCACAAACAGCAAATGCCAGATTCATTAAACAATAACTATATAAATATGCAATACAGTATGTATGTATGTAATGCATGTATATAACAACATAATACCACAACAGCGTTAATATGCGTCAATCCTAGGACACTTTCATGTTTATTATCTACTATAAACTATTACGTAATCTATAATTTGCCATCACGCAGTAATAAACTAACGCAAATATCAACGCAAAACCGAATAATATAGTGCATGGTTCATATAAAGTTCAAAGAAGTTATGCGTGCAACATACTATATATATGACAATTGTATTACTCATCAGTTTTCCTCACATCATCAGTGATGCTGAAAATAAATAGTTGTGTTCTGAATTATGTTGAATTACTAATATGAATTATATTGGAAAAAATTGACATGGTTGTTCATTGAATAAAATTTTATGGGTAAAATCAGTTTTTAGTCTTTTTCAACCCTTGGTCTCAGACTTTTGTCCAGTACTGTATATGCTTCTGTTGTTTTTCAAGTTGGATTTTTTTACTAAAATTTTAACTGGAAAAAAAAGCAAAAAAACATGAGAACGTTTTGAGATATTTAACACAAAAATTAGATTATATAAAATTATATCTTTTCTTAATTTCTAAGCATTTTCATTTCATGTTACAGCATTTTAATTCTTAAGCATGTTCCAGCATTTTAAGTTTTGTATTCTGGATGAAATAAACATTAGATATGTTTTATATTTTTTCAATTGTTCTTATTTTATTGAGGAAAACATTTTTGTTAAATGTAATGAAAACCAGATCATTATGGGAAAACAAGTCAATATTGAAATTATATTATCTTCAAAACTATTCATCATTTGGGCTAAAAATTTTTTGTGTCAATATTTTTTTGTAAAATGCAATAGCCAAAGGAGTTTAAAGAAAATATGAGGGCCAATGAATCAAATTTTTCAAAAACTTGGGTTATTTAATATGGAATAACTCATTAATGTTTTTGTAAGTCTGTATATAAATGGGTAAAAAAGTACCTTACCATAACATAAAAATGTCGAAACAGCTTTAACTTTTGAAGACTGATTGCAGCTAAAGTTAATAAAATTTAATAATATAAAAGTTAATAAAATTTTACAAAAAAACTTTTAGGCACACTAATATAAAATAGTAAATACAAAAGCAAAAAAAAAAAAAAAAAATGTTACTCCACCTCCCTATCCCTCATTCTCAAAACACAATACATAATTTAGGGTTTTCATTAAACATTAAAAAATTCTAATTAAACCCAATGAGCATTAAACTTTCAGTTTCATCAGATCTTAAATCTTATATCAAACATATATGCAAAGTTTAATGTCAAATACTTTTCTTTATTCTCTTCATATTTTCAATTTATGTAAAACAAATCTATGTGTTTCAAGTTTAGCTATACTACCACCATAGTCTCAATATCTAGCCATCATACTCAAATATTATTCATAATAGTCTCACTGTGTGTATTTAAAACCTATGTATAGCACCTATGTATATATATATATATATATATATATATATATATATATATATATATATATATATATATATATATATATATATATATATATATATATATATATATATATATATATATATACCCTTATTCGCTTCATATTCTCACTCTTATGTATTTCAAATCAAAGAAAATCAAATTTCTGTTGATGGTCTTTTGTCTTTATCAGAGCTCAAAGTTATATCTTAAACTGTATCTTGCAATAGTTAAGATGGTAAAATAAGTAAAAGTTGAGATGATAAGATGAGTTAAAAGTTAAAGAAATTTTCCAAAGCTCATTGTTATAAGCTTGTGAAAAAATAAACAGACAATTCCTCGTTGTAGAGAACTTGGTTGCACTGGTAATAATTGGAATAGATGTATTAACAAAACATACCTCAATTACTATAAATTTTGTAGGAAAAAAAGTGCCACTAAAATTTTGTCTGACAACAATAAGCATGAAATGTACCACTTATGCATAAATACCTAGAATTGATATTGACAAAATTAAACCGGTTACTACAACATCACAACCAGTTCGCAAAAATAACTCCTTCATAAAAGATAAGATGAATGTTAAAACAAGAATTCAAGTGAGCTGTAGTCCTTGATATGTTTTGCAGTATCAAAATAAAATAAAAATCGTCTCGATTATTCAAATTAATCTGCACATCCCAATTCATACCCAACAACCCAAATTGATAACTTGATAATTGA